AAGTAACTGAGTTACTTTTGATAAAAGTAACTACTAATGTAACTAAGTTACTAATTTAAAGTAACTTACCCCACACTGGAATTAATGCATGTCAATGGTTTATGTGGCTTTCCTGTTTTCTGACCTGATTGTAGACTCAGCAGTGTAGACATCCCTGGTCAGACCCTCCAGGTGGATCTCCGGGTCCTGGTCCTCTGTTCCTTTGTCCAGGCGGATGCTGACTGTCAGTTCTCTCTGCAGAGCCTTCAGCTTTTCCATGTCAGCCTGTGACAGCTGACTAATGCAGGGGTCAGAGATGGTTTTCTGTGCCTGCTCAGTCCGAATCTGCTCAATAATCATCTTCTTGGCCTGACTCGCTGCCTGCAGCATCAGACAAATGTATGTTAATAACGGAGATTTAAAGACAATAATTTTATTTTTATTCTACTGAGTGCACTGAAATTATATCTTCTTGACAACAAGACCAGCAGTTACTTCAACATGGTGTCTCTGAATATAGTATTGGTTGCTCAGAGACAAGCAAAGATTTTGGCTTTCATCAGAATCAGAATACTTTATTGATACCTAGGGGAAATTATCTTTATACATGATCTATATTTACGATGGTAGTAAACCTCACTGTGATGAAAGACTTGATGAAGCTGAACTCTGAAGGAACTGTGGATTCATTCTCTAACAATGTTTTCTGAACTTTCGACCAAACAAGGAAATCTATTTCTCTGCTGCTTTGTTATTTATGCTAAACTAGCCTCGAGCTCTGCATTACACATGTAGGAAGATCTGAGATCAATATTATTAACAGGAAGCGACTGTGTGTAATAATATATTTATACATGACTTCTGTAGGTTTGTAACTGCTCTGTTGTCTCATTTTAACTGATAAAGAGAATATTTAAAGAAAGGGTTCATTGTAAAATGCACCGACTTCTGTCTAGAAACCAAAACCAAGGAAAATCATAAAGTGAATGAATTTGTACCTTGTGGTTATCGGCACACAGCTGAAGCACTATGGGCTCAAACTCCTCCCTCTTCAAGACCAAGTCAGAAGCACTGATTTTTTCTGCTCAGAGCCCAAAAAACAAAGTTAGAGTATGAAATGGCTCAAAATTACACTGTGTTGTATTATAGCAAAGACGTTTTGTGGTCAGATCGGATGTTACGTGGATTAACAAGGTTTGTGTCAGGTGTTAAGAAACCAGAACACTGATTAGAAGGCAGAAGTGGGCAAGGGATGAGAACAGCACCCTTGAAGAGCATGTGGGACATGTGGAACCTTTGATACCCAACATCCAGCCTGATGGCAAAATAACTAGTAGCTCAGTGTTCCAACAAGGAACCAGGCGAGATGTCTTCCCCCCCACATGAGATTGGGTACCAAGTGTAAATTCCGGTTCTTTGGATTCTTAGGGCCAAGAAAGACACGGCTCAAAAGTGGTCTTTTTACTTTAAAAATTTATCTTTATTTTACATATCCGGATATGGAGACCTTAGCACACAGCACACAACCAAAGGTCTGAAGCACAAACGGAAGCCTAGGTATTTATATACTTGCTCTCTAGTGTGCATCAAACAGCCTAGTTGGTTTCACTTTCACTTCATTCTAGCTGCAAAAGCATGCAGTTTCTTGTCAGCAACAGACTGGAGAGATGTAATTGGACTTTAACAAACAGAGAGAAGGTAATCAGAACTGAGGGGATTGTACTGGCAGCAGGCACCACTGAAAAATTTAGAGACAGCTACAAGTACCTGGGAATCCCACAGGCAAGTGGGAACCATGAGGAGGCTGCTAGGAAAGTCACAACTAGGGATGGGTACCGGTATCGGTTCTGACATAAACGGTAGTAACCAGTCCGAAAAGCAGCGCACATTTTTTGTGCTTTATTTCGGTGCTTTTTTTACCTGAGCTGTGATACACTTTGGATTCTAGCCAATCATTTTATGTTTCCGAGGATAGTAGG